TATTTTGTATTCAAAATTATTTATTTTGTAAAAATATTTCCTTTCTCTATTGGTACTGTACAGGTATACCTAACAACAAAATTATTTTCATTTACCTGTGTTTAAAGTTATTGCAAATGGATGGTATTTTTGTTCGAGCATATTGTTTTTCTTTAATTGTTTAACATTTCTTACCGATATAACATGCTACTTTGATTATGCTTCCCTTAGTTTATTTATTTTGTATTTACATTGTGTCATAGGTCAAATTTATTTGTTCAGTGTATGTTCAATGGTGTTAATATGTCCTTTGATTGAGTTAAGCTATTTCAGTTGATATTTTATAGTATTTCTTTCTATGTTGTGATGTTACACTATTGTTCCAGAAAAAGGGTGAAGGTTTGGTACCATTAAAACGTTTAAACCCGCTGCATTTGTTTGCACCTGGCCTAAGTCAGGAATCTGATGTTCAGTAGTTGTCGTTTGTTGATGTGGTTCATAAGTGTTTCTCGTTTCTCGTTTATTATATAGATTAGACCGTTGGTTTTCCCGTTTGAATGGGTTTACACTACTAATTTGTTGGGGCCCTTTATAGCTTACTGTACGGTGTGAGCCAAGTCTCCTTGTTGAAGACCGTACTGTGACCTATAATGGTTTACTTTTATAAATTTTGACTTGGATGGAGAGTTGTCTCATTGGCACTCATACCACATCTTCTTATATCTAACTAATTAAATTTATCGCAAATATGACAAATGAACGTTCATATCCGGGACAATTCCACAGACAAAAACACAAAAATGTGAAACATTACAGCTCACCATATAGTTTTGAGCAAAAACCTATACCTTATGAAAATATTCAGTGGAGTTACAAGAATTATAATTTCATACGCCAGACGCAATCTTTGTTTATATCATACGCCTCGTTGGAGTTCCATTCAAATACAAAATCGAAGAGCATTTTTAAACAAATATTACAAAAAGGTGAGACCTATACGGCCAAGTAAAAAGTCTTTAGAGCATTAAATACACTTTGTAAACAGTTAGTTTATAAAATGACCGTATCAATAATATTTCAATTCAAAACAAGAGTACTGTCTTCTGGACTGGTGATACTTTAAGGAACGAAATATCCACCACACTCGCATAAAACAAGTTATTTTAAAAACACCAGGACACCTGTATTATAATTAGGTAAAGCAGGCACGCGATTTATTTACAAAATACAAATCGACTATTAAGTGTAAAAATGGCATTAACTGTCTGCGAAAAGCATGATCATATACTGTGCTTAACTATAGATTTCGATAAGATATATGACCGTACGTGTTATGGATAACAATAACTATATGAATAACAAGGTGTGGTATGATTACCAAAGAGACAACAATCCACTAGTGATGAAATGAAGAGGATGTTTAGTTACGTATTAAATGTTTGAAACAAAATTAATGTTATTCATTCCAAAGGTAAATGGTGACCTTTAAGATTATTTTTATTCAGGAAAACCATACGTTTACATGGATCGTTTGTCTATTTATGAGCATTATATACGACATAACTATATTAACTATAACTATAGTAATGATATTGTTTTCTATTTATCGTCATTTGAATGGTTATTTATATATGTGAGGGCGAACTCACAATAAGGCATTCAAATTTTCAAAAGAAGGCCAAAGCTGAGATGCGGTAACGGTATGATTGTCTACGAGTTGACTCTGTATGGACACTAAGGCCTTGAATCTAGACCAAAATAATAGTTTCATTCTTCAAAAAAGTTGGTGTAGTGTTTACGTCGTACCAATACAATGTTGTTGGTTGCTTTGTTGGCCAGCACGAACACAAAACGCGTTCCGAATACGTGTGGTTATTTCAAATACACATCTTTTATCTTGTGGAAATAAACTTTGAAAACGATGTATGTTACATTTTGGTGTTGTGTTTTTGTTGTGTCGTTGTTCTCCTCTTATATTTGATGCGTTTCCCTCAGTTTTAGTTTGTAACCCGGATTTGTTTTTATCTCTATCGATTTATGAGTTTCGAACAGCGGTATACTACTGTTGCCTTTATTTATATACCAATTAATTCAACCTGACAAAAGTGCATAAGCTGTATGTGTTTAGCATAAGAAAAGGTTGATCAGAAAATATTCAAGTTGTAATTTAGGATACATTTTTAAAATAAGTTACAAAAAACCTATTCATTATTTACGTGGATACATTTATCTAAATGTTCACCTGTATTTGATTAGACGTTTTGAAATAATCTTAAAAGTATAAAAACAAAATGTGTTAATAACAATACGATCTCAATATTACCTTCTCCTTTTAAAAGTATTTTTTTGAACAAAATACCGTATCAATCAAAATATGATTTGACGCATTCGTTCTGCCTGACATTTTACATTAACTAAATCGAAAGGGTTGTTACTTATGGCGTATGTATTATTTGAAGAACGACAATATCTCTATGTTTCTCATATACGAATAGGTTGTATTTTTACTTCTATGTAATTGCGTCTTTATCTACTGAAAATTTTATATTTTCCTAATTTTAATAAAAACACCACATACACAATTTACTGTATACTTATCTGTTTGGTACAAAACACTTACAATGGACTGAAAAATAAAAATAAAAATACAAGATTTAATAAATATAAAAAAACACCACTTCATCAGTTTAAAAAAAAAATATGATCAAAATATTGTTTTGAAGTGTTTATGGCTTTAAAGTTGAAACTGCATTTTGGGGGGAATAAAGGTGCAATACCACCAAATCATAGTACGTCACATCCCTTGCATACGAAAAAGGGTCGAAAAATATTTCCTTGATCTTGACAGTTGTAGGAAATTAATCCTACATTTCATTGCAGTAAAAACAATCTGAGTCATCAACATATATCTTGGGTGTTTCAAAGCACCATCCTTTTTTTATTTGGTGTTTCTATAAAATATTTTGGAAACTTTAGGTAACATGGTTTCTTAAGTTTGTAAACAGGAAAGAAAAGGGTGGACATTTGATTGGTTAACTTACAGTGATGGTTATTATCTAATATCCAATGAAATGTGAAATTTTGTCTGTAGTACTGGACAGGATAAAACTTTACTCATGCTTAGTATTTCTTTATTTGGAACAAAGATACATTCTGCACAATTTTTTGAAAAGTACAGGAGCTAGTCGAAGTGTGTCACTGGGACAAATGATACCTGATATGCCTGCATCACTTACAATGCCAGTCCATACTTAGTCAAAACATCACTATCGGGAATACGACACAATCGGTAAATTTAAAGACCAGACGACTATTCTTATATACAAAGTTCTAAGACAACCAAAATATGTTGTTAGTAAGTTGAGAACCATCGAATAGATCAACCAATCCGTGAACTTCTGTAATGTCGAATCGTTTGTCATAGATTCTAGAGAGTGTCAATTTTGAAAAAAAATCTTCATATAAAGCAGATCTGCTACTTTCGGTATATGAGGTGTAAGCACTCGCTGAAATGTGAGTTATTGAATTACAAAACATCATCGATATAATGACGTGGATAAAAATTATAGGTCGCTGTACGGCCTTTTACAATGAGAAAACCTATTCCCTATAGCCAGTTATACAATGAATATTCAACTTGTAAAACCAGGTTTTAATGTGTGCAACACATCTCACAATTCTACTTTTTTCACGAACGTTATGATTGCTTCAATAGATATGTGGGTTTTTACTTCATATAAAAAGCAAGAATTGTTTTGTTATTGAATAATACCAGCCGACAGATTAAAAAAAAGTTAGTTAAAACGTTTTTTGGCAATTAAAGTTTTTGCAAACAAATGCAAAAATTATTTAGAAACAAAAGCGGACAACTTAACTTTGAACTCATGATCCATCCTGAATAAAATAAAAATAAAACAACGTTACGTTAAACTTGGACTTCACTGGTGTAATTGTTTCAATGGATTGTTTCTTTTCTGTAGAATTCAAATATTGATACAGGTTAAGAGGAAACATTTGATATATGTATGTATTATTGCAAATATTAAGAAGAAACATTACAATTTTGAATATTTATAATGTTTCAATCAAGACAACAATGCGTTTTGTTTAAAATTTCATATAAAGTATTTCTTAATGTATTGCAGACAGGTTGACGACATAATAAAAAACAACATCGGTCTGACAGTTAAATTTGAAAACGTATAACATGCGGTTGATATCGACTTATTCAGATGGGATCCTAGTTTTATTGTTCATTATCAGTATATTAGATGTCAATTGTTCATTTTTCTAAAAGACATTTTAAACAAGCTACAAGGGGGCATTGGAAAATCTCAAGTCAAACAAAAACAGACAACACCATGTCAAAAAAAATAAACGACAAAAGGACAAACAACAATAACAAAACTATACAAAGAAAACTAAGACCTAGCATCCGTCGTGTTGGTCATGACAATATCCATTGTAAGTCTTTTGTGGTAAAATAGGAAAGATTGTTGGTATGACAAGCGAAACATATTCATAGTTATATGAAATACAAATATTTCAAATATGTCAACCAAGCTATGATCGGGTCCACAAAGCCATTTCAGGAATGCCACTATGATCGCGTCCGAAAAGCCATTTAACATGTTTAAGGGATGCCACTAACATTAGTATTTGGATCAATGTCTTCTGTGTTATCAGTAATCCTCTATCATGAAAGTCATGATTTAGTTATTAAATTTCTGGTTTAAATAAGATAATAGAGGAAATGGAATCTAAAAAAACCTAGTCAAACACCTGAACATTGAACTGAATGAACGGAGCACATAAACAAATCTGAATCATGGTAATCTGTATCATAAAGGTTGTGTATCAAAGTTGTCTGTATTTAATGGTCATTGTTAAATAGTTAGCCTATAGTTACGGGGTGGCTATTATCCGAACGAGCCTAGTGTTTAAATATATTTCAAAACCATGTCTGTAGTAAATGACTGTTTTGACTATTTGTCACTTACAATAAACGTAGATAATACTTACTAATCAGATTTCTCTTCCTTTCTGAAAGACGAAACAGATCAATGGTGTCAGTTTCACATGTATAAGTGACAGATTCACAAACAAACATACTGATAGATGTGTTGTCGTTTACTCAGATAACATTTCCAAAGCAAAACAAATGGTTTCGAATAAAATGTGGTTGATTTACTTCATTTTACCACCTATTGCTGAATTATATTGTGAGTTAACCATTCAAAACCGTTATGGACAAGGATAACATTATTATGATAACATTAACGGCATTACTTTTTCAGACGTGTATTACGACAATTAATGTCTCTTAGGTGTTGATTGACTCAGCAAATATGAGTATCTAAAATTTAATACAAACGTAAAATGTCTAAATTGATAAGTATTCGCTGCATTGAGAGCTATGCATAATGCTTCTATTGAACATTTTGTTATCAATTATGAGGCTGTTTAGTGTTTTAAATATCTGTAACATAACCGTCGAAAAAAAGGCAAATGTCGTATCGTAGAAAATACAGTTCACTGTTAAAATATGATTAATGTGTGTACGATTTGCCGTTCATTATTGAGGATTGTGGTTAAGTTGTTTAATGTTGTTCTGGAATTATCGACAAAAACTGTAATGTTTTACCAAGATATGAGTATTTTATTTGTAGGACCTTAGTTATTTTGAAAAGTTTGGTATCCAAGTAACTAATATACGTCCATTCATATCACTGATGGCACACGCGAATGTTGGGATATATATACATATATGAAATGATTAAAATTGTTCTTTTGAAAAGGGATAAACTATAGAGTAATACCTCCTGCTTGGGGCACACTTATTAAAAAGATCAGACGTTGTCAGAGAGTAATACATTTTAAATAACATCCATTGAAAATTAAACAACATCCTGTAAAACTTAAATCACAAGGCCTTTTGAATTCACTAGATATTAATACACGAGTTTAAGAAAATAGGGTTTTCTTTTTACCTGTAAAATACACATGTACAAAGGTAATTTAACCTTATTAAAGTTCTTCTTTTATCCAATGTCTTTAATTTTGACAAAACTTAATTTGGGGCCTCGGTGGCCGAGTGGTCTAAGTAGTTACTACTGTAACCACTAGCCAGTCAACACTGAGGTTGTGAGTTCGAACCCCGCTCGTGCAGGTGCACTCGACTCCAATCTTAATTGACTAGGATTGTCAGTTTTCCTATCGAAGGTCGGTGGTTTTCTCTGTGCACTCCGGCTTCCTCCACATATAAAAACTGACCGCCACGAAATAGCCCAAAAGCGGTGCTTAAAAGTGGCGTTAAAACACCAAAAAATCAAAAATCAAATCGAACACAATTCCTTTTTTAAAAGGCTATCAGGGATTGCTATGGAACTTCAATAATATTTAATTCTTCATTTTACAAAACATTCATTTTTTTAATTCAGTAAGTTACGCTATATACAATAAAAAAAAGTCCACTGCGTTATAAACTAAACTCGACACCATACATTTATACCAGGCTTAAGTTAGTGTTGAAAATTTTCCAGTAATCATAAAATATATCTGAAACATTCAAAATATTTTGAATAACATTTAAGATATGTATTTGAATAATGGTTGAAAGTTCTAGTTTTTTTTATGTACATTGTGCAAAGTGAACATGACATTATGTATATACAAATTTATTTAACAGAAAACTTAATTTATTACATGATATTTTTTTAATCCTACCAGAAGTAATTTTCTTTGGTCATCTTGTTTTATTTTTATTTCAAAGGTTATATTCATTGTATATATATATACATAATTACTCTAAATACCAGCACAATAATGTTAAATCTGCAAATTTGCGGAAGCAAATTTTTGTTCTTCCCTCGGCGGGATTCGAACTCATGTTATTAGGATATCGTGACAACACCACCTGCACTGTGTACAGCGCTCTAGACCACAGAGCCACATAGACTGAACTAAACATTCAGCTTTCGGTGGCCTAGTGTTACCTTTCCTCGTCAGTAGAATCTAGAGTTGTAACACAGTGCATGATATATTCGGCATGAAGATGGAATTGATTGCAGATTAGCTAAATTATCTGTCGTAAAGGATCGTAAGATGTATTCACAGAAATTATTACAAATATATTTGATAAGTACGTCTTAACAAGTGACAACTCTACGACAGATACATCTATAGGATCACCAGTGAAGGTGATGCACGGCTGAAAACACATATTATATTCATAATTACTCTAATATCAGCACAACAATGTTAAATCTGCAAATTTGCAGAAGCAAATTGTTGTTCTTCCTTCGCCTGGATTCGAACTCATGATTTTGGGATATCGTGACAACACCGCCTGCGCTGTGTCCAGCGCTCTAGACCACAAATATATATATATGTATAAGTGTTGATGAATATGGTGTTAATGATTATATTATGTTTATTGTGAAATTTTAGTTTCAATGCTATATTAAATACATTTTGGATTTCAAATTTTTGTTCAAATTTCTAGCCAAGGAGAATAGCTGTTGTTAAAAAAAGTTCCTTAATTGATGAAATACAAAAGAGAGATACAGAAAAAGGTTGGTTAAGTCTTGGTCGAGTATGGTTCAGACTAGGTCGAGCATGGTTCAGACTTGAACGAGAATAGTTCAGACACATATAAAATGGTTCAGTACTGGTAGAGTATAAGTTCAGACTACGCTCCAGTAATATCAAGTAAGTTTCACACCAAGTCAGACTGGTCGAGTAAAAATCACTACAGTCGAGTTAAGATGTAGGCCATTTCAGATTTTTTCTGGTTTGTAGTGTATATTGCTAATATAATATAAATATACATATCTACGTCATACCCATCAAAACAATATTAAGGAACTTACCCACACCAGATACATCTGTACATGTATTTTCCTTCCTCTTTTGGTTTCGTATCCTGTTCGTAATCACTGTAATAAACAACACAATTGATTAAAATAAAATTAAACTCTTTTTAAGTTGACAATTTAAACACAAGGTAGCAATGAATTAATGACATTCTCATCTATATCCAAAATCCTTATAGAATTGTGCATATACTTTTCCCTCCTTTTCCCCGTCTTTCTTACAACAAAAAAGTCGCATGAACTGATAAAGTCTTTAGATTTAACAATATGCAGAACAGTTTAGTTGAAAAAGCTATATATAAAGGCAATAGTAGTATACCGCTGTTCAATAGTCATAAATCGATTTAACTGAAACAAATCCGGGTCACAAACCAAAAGAGAGGAAAACACACAAACTATGGGAGGAAACAAAACGGAACAACAGAAACACTAAACTGTTACAAAAACAAACGCCAACATACATACAAACAGACCATGTGATAACAATTGCCATATTCCTGACTTGGTACAGGACACTTTAAGAAAAAACGTTGGGTCAAACCTGGTGTTATGGCTAGCCAAACCTTCCGCTTATATAGCAATGTTAAAAATACCGCTAAAATGACAACATTACGTGACAGGAATAAAGTACAAATAAATGCAATAACATCCAGGACATAGAAATACATAAACAAAAAATACAATAGCCCATCCCAACATGTTAACTACAGAATAACAACGAACACCTTAAAATTAATTTACGACAGAACACAAATACAGTACACTAGAATAATGAACTTGGCGTCACACGAATGTATCAACGCCACAAAAAGTGACGTCACAGGTAAATTTCTAAAAATACAATATGAAATTTGGATTAAGTTAGTGATGGTGTTATTTGATATATTTTCTAACCATTACAAGAATATTAATATAGAATTGTGATATATACGATTATTCCAAACATTAAAAAAATAACTGGTAGTGTTCTGTTAAGTTCATTCAATGAAAATATACAAACGAAACAATTTTACTAACTTCCTTCGCTATTCGTGAATGTTACTGCTAAAGTCGTTGACCACTTCACCAACAGTCGATTGTGAATGTGACTGCTGAATTTGTTGACCCCTTTATCAACAGTCGATTGTGAATGTGACAACTGACGTCGTTGACCCCTTTATCAACAGTCGATTGTGAATGTGACTGCTAAAGTCGTTGAACCCTTTATCAACAGTCGATTGTGAATGTGACTGCTAATGTCGTTGACCCTTTCATTAAAAGTCGATTGTGAATAGTTATCAAAGGTACCAGGATTATAATTTAATACGCCAGACGCGCGTTTTGTCTACAAAAGGTTCATAAGTGACGCTCAGATCAATATAGTTATAAAGCCAAACAAGTACAAAGCTGAAGAGCATTGAGGACCAAAATTTCCCAAAAGTTGTGCCAAATACGGCTGAGGTAATCTATTCCTGGAATAAGAAAATCCTTATTTTTTCGAAATATTCAAAGTTTTGTAACAGGAAATTTATACAAATGACCATATAATTGATATTCATGTCAACACCGGAGTGCTGACTCCTGGGCTGATGATACCCTCGGGGACGAAACGTTCACCAGCAGTGTGAATGTGACTGCTGAAGTCGTTGACCCCGTGATCAACAGTCGATTGTGAATGTGACTACTGAAGTCGTTGACCTCTTTATCAACAGTCGATTGTGAATGTGATCGCTTAAATCGTTGAACCCTTTTTAACAGTCGATTGTGAATATGACTGCTATAGTCATTCACCCTTTCATCAAAAGTCGATTTTGAATGCGGCTGCTGAAGTCGTTGACCGCGTTATCAACAGTCGATTGTTAATGTGACTGCTGGAGTCTTTGACCCCTTTATCAATCGTCGAATTGGAATGTTACTGCTGAAATCGTTGAACCCTTCAGCAAACAGTCGATTTTAAATTATCTTGTGAATCGAGGATATTTTAAAAAGAGGTGGAAACTATAAAAGAGGACATTTAAACTCATACGTCGAATACATATGAAGAACACTATGGCAACTAATGAAATTTGACGAAAGGACAAACAACAGTTAACATAAAACTACATATAAACAATTAAAAGAAAACTGCGCACCATGACTTGATAATGTCGTTTGAAAACAGTATGGTGTCCTTAGCATATAGTGTGCACAATTTGCCTTATTAGTGCGGATAATTATGATGAATGCCTTTAACATTCAATATTATGGTTATATCGTAAATTTAAAGTATCAATAGGTTCTAAATCTTTAACTAGACAAGCAGAAACATTTAAACGAGCAGTATATTTACGAAAATTAAATACAACTCAATTTTAACGCTATGGAAAATATATTACGCTATACGTTTGAACATCATTATCAATATTAATTACTTGAACGCAATCCTACTCGAGTTAGTGCTTGCTAACGTATGCAACGCATTACAAATGACTTTGTAGAAGATGTGAATTAAGCAAAACAAAATATTTTAAAACAAAATGTGAGTTGGTGAAATATGTATCAAGAAAATTAAACAAATACGGCTTTAAAAAACTGCTACTTCGGAACAATGTAATGAAGATAAGTACATACATGTACCTAGTAAATGTGTCAACAGTAAAACGGTGCACTGGTTATCACAATATAAGAAACACATTTAACCAGAACCATGGAGAGAGGGGCTTCATTTCGTAAAAATAATAATTAAGGATTACATGAAGATAATGTGTAATTCACTTAAACATTTGACGAAAAGTTTACATTGTTTTAAGCGTAAATTTAACACTGTAAAATATACAAACATATTGCCCTACCTCTTTGTTTTATGTAATTCTTTCTCTCTGGGTCCGATATGTTGTGTACGTACTCCACTGTCAAAACAAAAAGGAGTATTTACATATGATTCCTTAATATCAAAACAAAAAAAATTTAAAAATGAGGATAACAGATATTCTGTGCCAGTTTGAAAACAAGTATTCCTGAATAATTTCATAAGTTTACGTAGTGTTGAATGCATTGTGAATACAATTTAAAATGTGCATTGTTATAGACCACATGTCTACTTACTAGAGTCCATTGTTATTCCATTATTAACAATACATTGTTAATGACCACATCTTTTTATTGAATGAATTGTCTCCCCTGCGTCTGTCAATGAGATTCAATTCAGAAATACATTGATATTTAAAAACAGAATTTTGATTATGCAAAAATACATGTCACTTTCAAATAATATAGTTACATTAAAGCATGTATTACGACGACAGAATGCAGTCTACAAAACAACACTCTTCTCAGGTATTTCAGTGGATTTACCTTGTTTTAAAGATGCCAAACAGTTGTTTGATGTCGTTATCTGTTACAGGCTTAGCAGTATACTGTATGTTCGGAAATTCGGGTATAGGCTCTATCGTCAGCTTTACAATGTCATCTGTAAGCTTCTGTAACGACTGTAACAATTTGCCATCGTTTCGTGTCTTGTCGAGTTCACATTTCTTCTTTTCTAAGACGCTTCCCGCCTTCAAATCTATTTTAGTATCTGCTATGATTTTTGTCAATTTGTCCTTTCCCTTCCTGGATTGATCCTTGACCGATGCAATCATCTGTGCGACACATGTATCAACCATAGCCTTTATCTTTGTACCTTCTTCTGTAATAGCTTTGACTACTCCTTCAACCTTCACATCAAATGCCTTTAAACCTTCCTCCATCGTTTTAATGTTTTGAGTTGCCTCATGTACCTTACTACGCAGGTCTTTTGTATTCTTCTCCTTCATCTGTGTTATGTTGTCCATAAGCTTTGAAAAGGCATGCCCTGTGTGACTGCCAGTCACACAACTACTGCACACTGCTAAATTACATGTTTTGCATACAAAACTTACGTCTTCGTTGTGTTCCTTACATTTCGATTTACCTTCCGGGATAATGTCCGAGGAAGACTGAAACTGATGATTCTTTGTTCCTTTCTGTCTTTTATGAAAGGTTTTACAATTCTCACAAAAGTATTGTTCACACTCTAAGCAGTATTGGGATCCATAGGCACTGACACAAATTTCACATGTTTTAGAGGCTGCCTGTGCCATTTTGTCGCGTATCGTCTTCAATGTATAATACACAGGTAAGGTAAAAAACCAATGACAACAACGTTCTACATTTAAATCAAATAATGGTTATTTACGTATGTCGTGTATTTAAAGGTAGAACTGTGAAACATAAAACGTAAGTTCTAATTTAAATATATTATGAATATTTTACATATAAGACATCATTTTATTGACTACTGTATTATTTGCTAGTGTACGGTTTTATTGATGATATTGGTTATTGACCTAGATTATTGACTTGGTATTCATAATTTAAAAGAAGTATAACATTATCCTAATAATGAAAAGAGTATGTATAGATATCACACTATGGGAAATAGTATATTGTAAGTAAGATGTGTACGAGATTCTAAAAAGATTTAAGTCCATCAACATACTTTACATAGCATAAGTTTTTTTTATTCGTGAGTCCAGGTGTTTTCATTTTTATTTGTTTATATTTGTAATAAACTCTACAGTCTAATTAAATCATATCTGCTCAAAAAATGTTTTAATGGAAATGGATTTACGGTTGATATTACTGTTATATTAGCCGTTGCTAAATATAAAATTGAGAGAAAAACACAATACATATGAGGGTCACAAACATTTCTTACAGATAAAAAGAGCATAGTCTGAAGTTATTTTTAACGGATTCGAAATATCCAAATAACTATTTTGAAGTTGCCACCATAAATTGTCATCAAACTTTGAAACGTACCTATACACATGATATGAAACAAAGTGTATATTCATACACGTTTATGAGTAAATGTATACCATAATTCTCATTTACAAATGAGTTAATATATGAAACGAATTAATTAGCTAGCTTGTTTATAACTTGTCGAGAGTGACACTTTAGATGTTTCAGGAGGGTTAGCAGTTCTGGCTACACGGTTAGCACCTTTGAATCCAAGCTACATGTAAGATCAATGCTTTAAAAATAAGGAATAGATACCAAGTATAATCATTTAACAGTAATTCAATAAACAATGACAACACTGCATGGTAAACAATGAAAACGACCAAATAAACAAATATCACTAACAACTAATTATATAGAACAATAAAGATATAGCAAAACGAACCGTACGAGAAACCCGAGGTGAAATACTAGTATAATTGCAATCTAAGTTTGAAGTTATTCACTTCCGGTGGAAGTTGTAAAGAAGGCATTATTATAATATTAAATGTAGATTCATAACATTGATGTTTTGTTTTATAGACTAAAAGGAAACTAATTATTATTCTAATGATTGTTTTAAAGGTCAACAGTTGGAATGTTAATTAAGATAGTTCATCTACAGTTATCACTAGCCTATCAACATTGTTGATGTAAGCTCCAAACCCGCTTCGGTAAGTTTGACGCCTGTCTTAATTGACTCTGAATGCTGCCGCTCCCCCCCCCCCCCCCCCCCCCCCCCACCAAACCCATCAAAACCTGACGGCCGTGGTTAAACCAGAAGTGATATGCTGGTCACCTCCTTTCAATTCAATATTTGTATATAACACAGAACAAATAAAAACCTGTGCATCTTCTAAAAGTTCTATAATTGTATATTTCAACAGAACAAATGAAAGTCTTCCAGGTCTATAATTATCTGTATATTCGTCTAAATAACAGCCCAACAATGTTAGATCTGTAAATTTGCGGAAGCAAATATTTTGTTCTTTACTGGTCGGGATTCGAACTCATGCTACTGAGATATCGTGGCACCAAATCGTCTTGCACTATGTCCGGCGCGCTAGACCACTCGACCATCTAGGCTCGATAAAAAAATCAAGCTTTCGGTGGCCGGGTGTTACCTTTCCTCCCCAGTTTTTATCTAGCGTCGTAAAACAGTACATGATATATAAGGCATGAAGATGGAATATTACAGATCAGCTGAATTATCTATCGCAGAGGACCTTACATATTAATGACGGATTCAGTCACAAAAATAATTATATTATAAGTACGTCTGAAACAGTGACAACTCTACGACAGATTTTATCCATCGGATCACCAGTGATGGTGATACAAGGCTGAAAACACATTATGTATATATAATTCGTCTAAAAAACAGCCCAACAATGTTAGATCTGTTAATTTGCGGAAGCAAATTTTTGTTCTTCTCTCGCTGGGATTCGAACTCATATATAAATATAAACAAATCAGATACACATTCATTAAAGTCCTATTCATGTAAATGAAATCATAATATATCTTAAGATTTAAAATCTATTCAAGTGTGTTATTACAAACACAAATTGCAGGTTAAAATAGATGAAACGTTGTGCATTTTTTATGTATTTCATTGCAATAATGTATGTTATCATACTCGATGAATACAATCTGAAGGATTTAAATAGACTTAATGTGTTTATCAGCAGAATCAGCAGAAACAGTATAATGTGTTTAAACATAGAATAATTAATGTGCTAAATTATACATCAACGTTATATAGTACGCCATTAAAATTTATTATTACACACACATTATCAGGTAAAATTTATAACAACCTGTAGTTATACCTTGTGTTTTTTAAATGGCAAATCTAATTAAAAAACTGCTAATTGATTTAGTTCAAAATAATGTACAAAATACACAGTTCGACGTTTACCAGATATAATCAGGAATAACTTGTAGCCTGCATTCCCTTTATGTTCAAAATTATAGTTATTGATTCATTCCAATATTTCACAAGGTGTTTCTGTTTAGTAAATAAAACTATTAATTAACAAAATATTTCGACTGAAGATATGAATTAAGAAAAAGTCAACTAGTCATTTATGATATAACAAAGACCGCCATGATACGCACTATATTAATGTCAATGGTAACGAAAGAAGATACCGAGACTTGAGGAATCAAATGTAGAAATTATAGTAAATAAAATTATTTGAAAATTAAAAAAAAGATACTTAACTGCTATTTAATAGCCAAGGTTTTCAAAAGTTGCATATCCTATTATGCAGTGGTAAAAACTATATAACATGTAACGATGGATACGTTTAAAATGCAAACAAAATAGTCTATAGATATAATGTTCGGTTCAGATTGTAGTCGTCGACTGAATCAATTCACTTTTTCGAGTGTAGACCATTCTTCATAGAGTGAAATTACATGCAACCGAATCGATTTACTCTTTTAAAATACGTAATACTATCATTTGTGACTGACATTTCAGTAAATTAACGCAAATGAAAGGATTTGATTCGTGTCTTGATGTTTAACTCGATATTGACACAAATTGATACTTTATGACAAACGTGGTAATTTCAACTTTCCGATTACGAACTTCCTATTTCTCAGCAGTACAAATTTCTATTGATACTTTACAACGTGATCGTTCTTACTCGCATTATACAGACTTCATTGGCCAATTCTCAGCAGTACAAACCCTCTACTCTAACGTATGTTCTTTTTTTTTTTACAAATTTTTATTGATACTTTACAACGTGATCGTTCTTACTCGCAATATGCTGCCATGCAAATACACAGTAAGTCAACATGTTACATTTGGGAATAGGACATCATTGGCTAATTTACAGATCGGACCACTCTTCTGTGTTTAAAGATTAAAGGACGTGAAAATATGATGAAGGTAAATCCAGAAAAGCGCTTCGGACGCATGAAATTATTAATCGTGTTGTTTTCAATGTTTACTAATGAATTGAGACAAATGCAAAACGTATCGGTCAATCAAATTGTCATTGTGGCTGTAAATCTTATATTGTTTCGGTTTCAGTCGTCCGTCCTCATAACTTTGTCTAACTAATTTGTGTGCAATGATCACATCATTATAAATGACGTCTATCAATGTTAACATACAAGCGTGTAACATATTCATTGTGATATCTAAGCAATAACCGATGGAACAAAATTGATGTCGCTGCTGACAAATGTTAAGTTGGCATTTTGAAAGAAATATATAAGGCGTTTTTTACATGTTTTCTACATGCCTATCTTAAGCAAAGAATAAACAGGAAGTTGAAGATCAAATTAAGAGCATTTAGATTTTGTTCATGCCAGTATCTTTATACGATTACTGTGTGATTGAGAAACTTTTGGATGGTAACATAATATTAATCAACTAAACGACATTTCATCCTATGATGACCCATTCTTTTGACGCCGAACAGTCTAAATTTTGTTTTAACTCAGAAAAGCAACACATGCCAACTGTTAATCTTTTAGCTTGTTGTGGCTGTGAATCGAACCAACGACCTCCGTACTCGAAGCGAATATTATACCTAGTGACCAGCAAGGCGGTAGTGTAAAAAGGAACAACAGGGTAGTAATGTCATTATACCCTCCGGTGTTGAGGCATGGCAAAGAAATTGTTTAACAACAGAAAAAAACAAAAATATTAAAACAGTACATAGCGAACATAAGACTAAGCAACCAGTACCAACACAAGCTTCATAGACAAATTAACAGGTATTGTGTTACCATTATAACCTTGTCGAAGTTGTTAAGAATGTTCTTTTCAAATATAAGATGCTTATGCAGGCCAATTAAGTTAATTATTATTCTAATGTTTGCTCTGAAGATTAAAAGTTGGAAGGTGCATTGTTGGCCGAGTGGTTTAGAAACTTCATAAACAGTGATAACTCGCTTTGGCAAGACGAATGCGACGCCTCTTTAAGTTGACTAGGGCTGCTAGTTTTCCTTGTTCTCTTTGCGTTAGGTAATGCAGTTTCGCCATTGTTTAGTCAAGAGTGATCATATGGTGTTAAACAGAAGCCAAATTTGAAACAATCAGAGGTTGTACCAGCAATACTTTAATACATTTTGCACTGATTTCTTTATCAACATTTGGACAAATTTGACTTAACTTACATTATTTGAAGCATGTTAACATACATTAAATTTATTAATCTATTAATGTATATATAACCATAGACATAAATTCTTTAATCATATATACCTCCTGTCAGTCAATTTATAATTGTAGACAAAAATAATTTTTAAACCTGTATATTTCCTTTCTGTTTTATAATTGAATATATAAACAGAACAAATAAAAGCGTGTTAAGTCAGTATACCTTCTTTTGGTCCTTTAATAGAATATATAAACAGAACAAATAATATTCGTTA